GCTGCTGGGTTAGCCACATGCGGGGGGGAGGAGGGGTGACACCATCCTTTGCCTTCCGCATCTGGATCCTCACGGTCACATTCCCTCATTTCTTCTGGTTTTTCACTCTCTTCATGAATGTAATTGGCCAGCGTGACCCAGAGCAGATGCCACGCCACAGACTTGGGAGGTCAGGAGAAGAAAAAGACTCCAAAGTACACATACACACATGGACGGCAACAGAAAGAAAATGAAAACCAGAATGAGAAAGAGATGCTTGTATGGAAATAAGCAGACATGATTACTCAAATACAGTCATTAAGGAGGAAATGTTGTTTTTCAGGCTGTCAGGATGATTAATGAGGGACAGAAAATCCACTCAAATGCTGTTGTTTAGTCTAACCAGCAGACCTGATCTATGCCACTAACGTAGAACAGACAGGATGTGTGTGTGTGTGTGTGTGTGTGTGTGTGTGTGTGTGTGTGTGTGTGTGTGTGTGTGTGTGTGTGTGTGTGTGTGTGTGTGTGTGTGTTGTGTGTGTGTGTGTGTGTGTGTGTGTGTGTGTGTGTGTTGTGTGTGTGTGTGTGTGTGTGTTGTGTGTGTGTGTGTGTGTGTGTGTGTTGTGTGTGTGTGTGTGTGTTGTGGTGTGTGTGTGTGTGTGGTGTGTGTGTGTGTGTGGTGTGTGTGTGTGTGTGTGTGTGTGTGTGTGTGTGTGAATTAAATTAACACGTTTGAAAGCGTAAAAAACATTTACGGAGGAAAGCGGGAGAAGTAAAGTTTGTGTGTGACACCAAACTCGAAAACACAATTAACTGTTCACTACGATCTCGAAAAGTAGGTGCATTCTGTGTTTTGTCTGTTTATTTAGCCAGTCTAAAGTCGAGAAAAACAAAGATGAAAGTGTAGAGAATGACTGTGAGTGAAGTTGTTGTGAATCACTTTCTTAATTTGTATGTCTTTTTGTTTTGGTGTTATTGTTCTGACAGTCACCACACACACAACTAGAGTTTATTAAAGGATAAATAAACAAACTAACCAACTTAAAATGCAAAAAATGCAAAACACAAGCTGAAGACTGAAGATGTTAGCACATCTAGCTAACTAGCTTACAGTAGCAATACTCTGAGTCCAGCACTTCACAAACTACAGTTTTGGGGCTTACGTAGGGGCAAAAGTCACAAAAAACAAATTGCGGTCGCGGATAGCTTCGTAAATTGCGCATTACTTAACTGCGAATTGGATTCACAAAATATATTGCTAAATATATTACAGCGCAAACAAGGGCTACACAGCTGAGTGCAATTTGTCCTCTTTTTGTCTGATTGCAATCATCCACGTGGCAAAGCATAAGTGATGACTTTGTAGCTGTAGGCAAAACTTTGGCATTGAGAAAAGAAAGAAAGTTCAGACCACAAGCTGCAGCTCCTGCCGGACGAGGTGCAGAGGCAGTGCTCAAAACCTTAGGCAAAGAATTAATAAGCGATGGAAGGAAACTGGATTTAGGATTTTATATGAAAAACTATGGCTAGTATATCGATTTTTGGGGGGGAATTTGACTTTGTGGGAATATTTTTCTTTTCAATCCTTTTCAATGGCTTTTAGCTATACACAGCAAAGCAAGATATATAATTTTTATTTATTTTATTTATGTCTTTTTCATTAACTTGTCAAATTGCTTACTTGTTGCCTGTAGGATGTTAGCTTTGGCTAGTGTTTTAGCTTATACATAGACATCAAAGATGGAAGACCCTTTTGTTGTTGCTAAATGTAGCCTCGTTAGCTTGATCTAAAAACAACAACCCATTGTTTTAACCCTCCGGTATCATTCGATTGGACTACGCAAATTAGTCATTCGAGACAAAAATGTCCACTGCAAAAGACTTTGATAAAAACATTATATTAAAAGGTTTATTTCACAACTTTTTTGGGTTCAATCTTTAAAGCAACTTCCGCCCTAATAGAAAATACAAAAAATGTAATCATTTTCAGGATTTTAACCCTTTAAATGCCATTTTGAATACATGAAACCTCTTGACCTAACAATCAACATCGGCACCTCTATTGTTTCCCCGACTCAGACTGCAAGGAATCTGGGTGTGATCCTAGATAACAACCTGTCCTTCACTGCAAACATAGCTGCTACATGTTAGTTTAACTTACATGCTCATTTTAGGTAATAATGAAAAATGTTTCCAGTCATTTTTTTAATATGTCATTTTTTGATGAAAATCAATGGAAGACACCTTTTTCTCGTTTCCTACATTATCACCAAATTCATGCGAAAACACATTTTATGCTGCAATAGATCACCTGGCCGACAGTAAGCTGTCAACACCTTCTTGAAATTAGCCTTCTTTGTGAGCTTTCCAGCCCGTAATGTGCCAGAGTCTTCAGAAACTCCAGATGTTCCCTAAAATGATGCTGGAAGGCTGATAAGGATTCAGCTTTCAACAGATGCCTTAGCCTCAGGACTGTGATTTAGTAACTGTGAATGATTAAACAGTGTTTCAGTGTCTCTCA